CTTGAGGTGGAAATCTTGAGACTCATTCATGTACCCAGTCAAAATCAACCAGCACATCCTAACATGAGGTTTCCCTCTTCTCCTTTATAAACTTCAGTTTGCCTATGGGCCAAATCTGTCTCCTTTCTACCCAGAGGCAGTCCCTTGTTCCTCTGGGGCAAATACCCCTTCCCCTTCTTCCTTGTTCTTTTCCTTTCTGCCTCCTTCTCTGTCTCCTGTCTTTGTCTCTTATTCCCTGCCCTATGTCTCTCTGGAGCAAATAAATCTCCTTTGTGCTGAGAACTTGGTCTTGGGGTGTCGTGTGATAATACTGGTTCTTTTACAGGGACTAGCTATGTAGCCCTGGTTAGCCTGTAAATCACTATGTAACCCAGGCTAGCCTTGAACCCACAGAGATCCTCCTGCTTCTGCCTTCCAAGTGGCCGGATTAAAGGCATGCCTATTTTTAGTTTTTTATGTGTGTGCATTTATGTGCATGTGTGCTCACGTGTGTACCACACAGTATACATGTGAAGGTCAAAGGGCATCTTTCAGGTGTCAGTCGTCTCCTTCCCCTGTGTGGGGCCTGGGAATAGAACTCTGGTCGTCAGGCTTGGCAGAAAGCACCTTTGCCCGCTGAGCTGTGGGTATTTAGTTTCTGGAGGCTCTGTATGTTGATTTCCACTGTGGCTGTGCTAGCTCACATCTCTGCCAGCAGAGAATATGGGTTCCTTTGTCTCGCCTTCTTGCCAACATTTGTTGGGATTCCTAGATGACAGCCACTCTGACTCAGGTGAGACAGACTCTAGGTGTTTCTTGTCTCCTGTAACCTAGTCTACCTTTGAATTCCTGATCCTTCTCCAAAGTCCTGGGCTGGGATCACAGGTGTGTGTCACCATGCCTGCTCTTAACATGATGCTGGAGAGTGAACTCGGGGCCTCAGGCCCTATCAGCTGCTACATCCCCAGCCCTCAGTGCGGTGCTGGTTGCGGCTTCCAAGAGGCACCCTGACCTGTCAGCATAGGCTCTCCTACCTTCTTCCAGCCCTGGTTTAGTAACTTAAGCTTTGGGACCACATCGTTGTCCAGCTCAGTCACTGACCTAGCTCAGATTCAGGAAGGATGAGGTGGGTGTAATTCTCCTGTAATCCATTTATGTGCAGCCGACTTCTCCCAAACCTGAGAGCCTGTCGTGGTAACTTTGTGTAGATGAAGTGATGCAAAGGAAATCCCTCAAGGCCAATAGGGATTAAATTCTAGCTCCTGATTCCCTAAGAAGACAGCAGCCTCAGAAGCATGTCGAACTTGCCAGCAATTCCAGGCACCATTCCCGGGCCTGACAATTTAAGAAGGATTATGGTAAAATGTCCTGGGGACAGTGGGGAAAGATTAGGTGAAAAGAGATTTAAAAGATCTGTCCCACAACCTCACCACCGGTTTACAGCTGAGCACAGGAAAAGGGGATTAGGTTATTTATTTAACTAAAAATGTTAATGACTTATCTCTTCTTTAAAATTTTTATTTAGCATGTGCCTGTGTGTGCACCCTCAGACGTGTGGAGGCTAAAGGGCACCTTTCAGGAGTTGCTTCTAGCTTCTTTCTTGTTGATGCACGGCCTTTCTCATTTCTGCTCCCATGCTGTCGAGTCTAGTTGGCCACTGGACTTTTAGGAGAGTCTCCGTCTCTGCCTCCTGTCTCCAGGTAGAAGTGCTGGAATTGCAGATATGCACCACCCCAGCTGTGTGTAGGGGCGTGTGGGTTCGTGTGCATGCCAAGGCACAGGTGTGAAGGTCAGATGACAGTTTGAGGGAATGGGCTCTCTCCTTCTACTGTAGGATGGTCCTCAGGATCAAATTCAGGCAAGTGTCTTTACTTGGTACGTCATCTTGTAGATCCCACATCTGTTTATTTTTGAGACAAAATCTAGCTAATAGGGCTAGCCTGGAACTCAGTGATCATCCTGCCTCTGCCTCCCAAGTGCTAGGACTAAAGACAGGCCCCATCAGGCCCCATCCATATCTGGTTTTTGTTTGTTTGTTTTTAATGGAAGGATTGAAATTGGGTTGTCAGGCTTGCATAACTAGTTCCCTTTTGGCTTTTTGAGATGTGGTCTCAAGTAGTACAGGCTAGTCTTGAACTCAGTGTGTAGCCTAAGGCTCCTGATCCTCTTTCCTCCACCTCCCAAGAGCTGGGATTTCAGGTGTGTGCCACCATGCTTGGCTGACTAGACAAGGGACATGCTAATTCCCAGGCTCCGGTGTGGCTCAGCTGTCACCTAAGGATATCAGCAGCCTTTTCACTCATGGCAAAGCAGGTTAGTGGGGTCAAAGCACCTCTGGATTAAGACTGAGTTGGGAGCTTGTCTTCTGCTCTTGAACCTGGTGCAAGCAGTGTTTACAGTGCTGTCATCCCTACAGATGGTACTGGACCCTAACAATGTCCTGGAAGATCTTCTCTGAAATGCTAAAACATTTAGATACCTTCCTGAGCCAGAAGAGAGGAAGAACCGAGACAGGGAGCCGCTCCAGAAAGCCAGCTGCCCCTGCTGATGTGTTGGGACCCTCCCCTCAGTCTGTGACATTCTAACCTCATAACCCCAGATGACACTTGCTTGGCCCTTAGTGCGACAGGCAGTTTTTGGCATCATCTTTATGCTGTGAACATCATACTGAGATAGGTGATGTCATCATCCTGATGTTACAGGAGGGGAAACTGAGTCACAGAGAAGTCAGGGACTTTGTCCAATGACACAGAACACTGGAGCCTGTGCACAAAGCCACAGCGCTGACCACTGGGCGTGTGCACTGCGTTTGTGCAGTGCTGTGGCTGCATCCACCATGCCCCCAGGCCGCCATGCCCTCAGGATGTCATGCCCTCAGAATACTTCAGAGTTCGTTGCACAGGATGTAAAAATCGGCATGAGCCACCTCTCATGGTCACAGACTGTTCTCAGCCTCTCCTCTTCTGGGAAAGATGCAGTGTTCACATCAGAATAGACAGGCATTCATAGTGGTGAAGGTGCCACAGTTTGAAGGTTTTCTATAGAACTCACCTTGCAATTTATCTTTTATTAATTTTAATTATTTTGGTTTTTTTAAGACAAGTTGGTTATTTTATTTATTTATTTATTTATTTATTTATTTATTTATTTTTTGCGTGTATTGCTGGCTGTCCTGGAACTCACTCTGTAGATCAGGCTGACTTTGAACTCACAGAGATCCAACCTGCCTTTGCCTCCCAAGCGCTGGGATTAAAGGCATGCACCACCACGCCTGGCAATTAAAAACTTTTAATTATACTTATTTGTGTGTGTGTGTGTGTGTGTGTGTGTGTGTGTATGCATGCGTGAGTGCCCCCCTTTTTTGTTCAGAGGACAACTTGAGGACACATGTATGTGCATTTGCAGGTGGTACATGCAGAGTTCAGAGAGGATGCTGGATCCCCTGGAACTGGAATGACAAGCAGCTGTGAGCTGCCTGCCATGTTGGTGCTGGAAGTGAACCTTCGGAAAGAAGAGTGCTCTTCACTGCTGAGCTGTCTCGCAGCTTCCTGGTTCATGTTTCTGAGATGAGGTCTCCTAGCCGGGGCTGGCCTCAAACTCCCTATGGAACCAAGGATGATTTTGAGTTTCTGATATTTTTGTTTCCACTCCTGAGTGCCGGGATTGCAGGCACACACCATAAACCTGGTTTCTACAGTGCTGGGGATTGATCCCAAGGCTTCACACAGGTTAGGTGAGCACTCCACTCAGGAACAGATCCCAGCCACCACACTGTAATTTCATCACCACTCCAGCAGTTTTAAGAAGTGGGACCTCAGGCCAGGCACGGTAGCACACACCTGTACTCCCCAGTAGTCAGGAGACTGAGGTGGGAGGAGCGCTGCGTTTGAGGCTAACATGGGCTACAGTGCCAGATGCTGTTTTAGAAAAACACCACCACCACCGAACAACACCCAAACCAAAGCAAAATGACAGAGTGTGAGGTGTGAGGTAGGACAGTGGAGTTTTGAATGAAAATGGTCCCCAAAGGGAGTGGCACTATTAGGAGGTGTGACCTTGTGGAGGGAAGTGTATGGGATGGGGTGGGGAGTGGGGCTGTGGGGGCAGGCTTTGAGTCTCTTTTGCTCAAACTTTCCTCAGTGTGACTTTCACTTGTCTTCCTGTTGCCTGCAAGATGCAGCACTCTCAGCCCCAGCATCACATCTGCCTGCACGCCGCTATGATCCCGTCATGAAGGTAATGGACTGAGCCTCTGAAACTGTTAGCGAGTCGCCCCAATTAAACATTTTCTTTATAAGAGTTGCTGCGGTCATGGTGTCTCTTCACAGCAATAAAAACCTACACTAAGACAGGGACTGTTAGGAGGAGATTCGGTTCTAGGTACTTCTGGTAGGATTCATGCCATGCTTGTCAGGAGTGTTCATTATCATGGCATGGGTCCGGCTTACTGCAGTCTCTCTCCCCATCTCTGCCTCACGCATGTTCTCTGCCCTTCTACTATGCTATGAAGCAATGCACGGGCTCCCACTTGATGCCGGTACTATGCCCCTGCATCTCACAGACTCCAGAACGGTAGACCAAACAAGTCTCCATTGCCTGTAAGTCTCCCAGACTCAGGTTCTCTCACAGCTGCAGACAACAGAGTAGGGCCCTGGCTTCATTCGGGATCTGAGCTGACTCCGAGTGGGGACTTGAAACAGAGACCCCGCAGTCATCCAAGACCGTCCTTAGGACTGAGAACCCAGACTCCACTCCCAACAGGGTGTGGCATCACACACCTGTGATCCTAGCACTCTGGAAGTGGAGGTAGGAGGATCATGTGTCCAGTCTGAAGTACACATCAAGATCTGATACACAGCTGGATGGGCACCTTTGATCTCAGCTCCTGGGAGGCAGAAGCAGGCAGGGCTCTGAGTTGCAGTCCAGCCAGGGATGCACAGGGAGATCCCATCTCAACAAACAAGCAAATGAGCGATCCGATATGTACACAAAAAGACAGAAGACTCGGCTGCCGTTGTGCTGTGTGTATTCTGCTGACCTCGGGTCCACCCCGTTCTCCAGCCCTGTCTTTCCTGACCCGCTGTCAAGACTTCTAAATACCCAGATGTGGCGATGGGATTATAGCTGCTCACTTTCCCCAGATGCCCCCTCAGCATGTGACCCCTGACCCCAGGATCTAAGAAGACATGCCAGTCCTCTGGCCCTCAGGCATGGGAGTGCCATCTTGATAGCTGCTCTCTGGTGACTGTGCGGGTGGATGTGGCTCTCCATTGTCTGGGTGGAATTCTGCCAGGATGTAGAGAAAGCCACCCAGGGCTGCGACTGCGGTGGCTGTGTTGTGGCAAGAGCAGCCGTCTGTGGAGGGGAGAGAAGTGCTCGGAGCAAACTTGGCTCTTTGCTCAACACACTTCACCAGGAATACTTTATGGGTCTCCCACAACTGATCTGCCAGGCACAGTGTCGGCATATTGGTGTCCTGCACATCATAGATGCCCCCTGCAGGTAAGGCTCAGACCTTTTTCCACTGAGGGTGAACTGTCAGACGGGAGCAAACAGAGGTGGGAAAGCTCAGTAGTAGAGCACTCAGTGCGATGCTCTAGACCCTTGGTCATATCCCCTTGTACTGGGGAAAACGACAACCACCAATCAGGTAAGAGCTTTGATTACCTGGGTAATGGGTAAGTGAACCCCTGGGTGTTTGTTACCTGTGAACATTTTTTCCCGTCTCCGTACTCTTCTCAGAACGCCCTGCCGATGTGGCGTGTCTTCCGGAAGCTCTCCCTTTGCATCTGGAGAAGAGCCAAAGGCAAAGCTCTCAGGATAACTCCCACTCAATAAGCCTCTTCTCCTGACCCTTTAGGGACTTAGAGCAGGGTTATCAACCCTTGGTTGCAACCCCTTTGGTAATTGTGTATCAGCCTACATATTGAATATTTACATTACAGTTTGTAACAGTAGCAAAATTACACTTAGGAAGTAGCAATGAAATGGTTTTATGGTTGGGGTCACCACAACATGAGGAACTGTAATAAAGGGTCGCAGCATTAGAAAGATTGAGAACCACTGTTCTAGAGGTTTCTTCCTGTGCCTGTCTGCAGGGTCCACCACAGAGCCATGCTTGTCCTCTAAGCTCCACCCCCTGAATCAGAACCTCTAGACGGTCTCCTATCTGACACTCACTCTTAAAGTGTCCTAGGACTCTTCATTTTATGAACCATCGTAATAATAATTTTCTTTTTTGGTTTGTTGAGGCACGTGTCTTGCTATGTAGCTGACTCTCCTGGTACACTGTCTGTAGACCAGATTGGTCTTGAACTCACAGAGATCCGCCTGCCTCTGCCTCCCTAGTGCTGGGATTAAAGGTGTGTGCCACCAGGCCAAGTTGTTGTTTTGAGGTAGGTTCTCACTCTGTAGTACAAGCAGGCCTAGAATTTATAGCAATCCTTCTGCCTCATCCTCCCAAGCATTGGTATAATAGATGTGAGTAAGCTGTTTTTGAAACTTCTTTTACTTAATCATTTTGTTTATTTTTGTGGTACTTGGGTTGAATCTGGAGTCTTGCACACGCTGGGCCTGCACTCTGCCACCTAGCCCTTTTTAAAATGATTATTGGGGCCGGAGAAACGGCTCAGCAGTCAAGAGCACTTCCTGCTCTCCCAGAGAACCCAGATTTGATTCCAAGCACCAAAATGGCAGCTCACAACCCTCTGTAACTGAAGTCCTAGAGGACCTGAGTTCTCTTCAGGCCTCTGTGGACACCACATATATATGGTACACAGACATATATGCAGAAAAACACATATATACATACAGATAAATTGAAAATAAAATTACTAGCCAGGCGGTGGTGGTGCATGCCTTTAATCCCAGCACTCAGGAAGCAGAGGCAGGCGGATCTCTGGGAGTTCGAGGCCAGCCTGGTCTACAGAGCTAGTTCCAGGACAAGCTCCAAAGCTACAGAGAAGCCCTGTCTTGAGAAACCAAAAAAAAAAAAAAAAAAAAAGAAAAAAAAGAAAGAAAAGAAAAAAGGAAAAAATTTAATTATTTAAGGGTGACATATGGCATGTGTGTGTAGAGGTCAGAAGACAACTTCTGGGAGTCAATTCTCTTCTACCTGTGGGACTAGCTCATCATACTTGGTGGCAAAGGTCTTTATATCCTAAGCCTACTTGAAGTCCTCTCCCCACTGTTACTTTGAGGCAGGGTCTCACTAAATTGCTCAGGCCAGGCAGGCCTTGGAGTTCTGATCCTCCAACCTCAGTCTCTTCAGTGGCTAGGATGGCAGAGCTGCACCACCATTGCTTTGGCTTATCACCATGCCTTATCACCTCGCCTTACCACATCACCGTGTCTTAGTGCATCACCCTGTCTTAGCGCATCACCGTGTCTTAGAGCATCACTGTGTCTTAGCGTATCACCTTGCCCTAGCGCATCACCGTGCCTTAGCATATCACCGTGTCTTAGTGCATCACCGTGTCTTAGAGCATCACCGTGTCTTAGCGCATCATTGTGTCTAACACCTTAGTGCATCACCAAGCCTTAGCTTTCTTCTTATCTCAAAGGCTGTTTCTGCTTTAAGGACCCCAAGCTTCTCATGGAGATACTGGCACTTCCCGGGAACCTGTCCTGTGGCGGGCACAATCTGGGTGTTCCTGGAGGTGGTGATGCTTATGCTTATGTATTTTCAGATGGGAAAATTGAAGATAACCTACTGTCACGTGTTGCATGGTTGGAAGAGGCTCATCTCGGGCTTCTCGACTGTCACCCCATCTGGGTGGTCTTCCCCGCTAACTCTGTCTAAAGAGCCTTCCCTGCTAACTCTGTCTAAAGAGCCTTCCCCAGTGTTCTTTCCCAGCTCTTGGCAGAACTTGGCATGACCACATCTGTATGTGGAAGGGGTTTCTGTCTCATGTCTGGAGCTTCACAGATGCTCAGGAAACACTGAAGGAATGAATTTATCAACACACATGCAGCGGGCCAAGCTTCCTCACAGGACTGGCTGCCAAGCCCATCACCCATGTGTGTGCTTGCCTGTGCACACACACATGTGTTCTACATTGTTGTAATATGAGCAGTGGGGTTGCGTCCCTGCCGCCTGGCTCCTGGCTACCAGCTAGCTTATGCCCCGAAATAATTTCACGGAAACTGTATTCTTTTAAACACTGCTTGGCCCATTAGTTCCAGCCTCTTATTGGCTAGCTCTTACATATTGATCTAACTCATTTTTAATAATCTGTGTAGTCCACGAGGTGGCTTACCAGGGAAGATCTTAACCTGCGTCTGTCTGGAGTGGGAGAACCATGGCGACTCTCTGACTCAGCTTCTTTCTCCCAGCATTCTGTTCTGTTTACTCCGCCTATCTAAATTCTACCCTATCAGAGGGCCAAACAGTTTTCTTTATTACTTAACCAATGAAAGCAACAGATAAGATACAACACCCACCTCCATCACTACATCACAGTTAGTGCTCAGTGCCCAGGCACTCATTTCTCGAGTGACCCACAACTGAAACCCCACCAACCCTTCTCCTAGGCAGGGCAGACGGGCAACTCACCAGGCTTCCCGAAGCATCCCAACTGGGGCTTCTGCCAGCTGAGAATAGCCTCCAGCCAGCGCAGCTTGTAGAAGTCAGAGAAGCCGGCCATACCGCAGAACATGACTGCAAACACACACCAAGGTGCCTCTGTAGGCCTGTCTCCACCACCCACCCTGTGTCCCTGGGGTCACCACAGAAGAGGGTGCTTAAGGGACCTGCCTGACTCTTTCTCTGCTCTAGGATTACAGGGCCTCGAAGGATGTGCTGTCTTGGCCCCCAGAGGTTCCCAGGCCCTAGTCCTGTCCTTCCAGTCCTATCACAGGGCTGCTGGAGTCAGGCTTGGTGGAGGTGTTTAGAAAGAAGCAGTCACTCAGGGCTCCTTTTCTCTTTATCTCCAAGACCCTGGTGTGTGTGTGTGTGTGTGTGTGTGTGTGTGTGTCTGTCTGTCTGTCAGTTGGTCAGTCTGTCCAGAACTCCCTCAGTAGATTAGACTTGGTAGACAAAGAGTAGTCACTGTGACAAACAGACAATGATTGGTTACATTTAAGCCCCTAATAAGCAATATGTGTGCAAGCATATGTGGAGGTCAGAGGTTAACTACAGCATCATTTCTACAAAGTTGTCCACCTTATTGTTTATTTTCTTATTGTTTGTGGGCATGTGTGTGCCGTGGCATGTGTGTAGAGGTCAGAGGACCACCTTTGGAAGCTGACTCTCTTCTTCCACCATGTGGATCTCAGGGACTGAATTTATGTCCTCTGGCTTAAGGTGGGCGCCTTTTTACCCCCTGAACCATCTAACCAGCCCCATCTTACTTTTCAAGACAGGATCTCTTGGTTTCTTGGACTTGCTCATTCACTAAAGCTGGGTGCTCACCAAGTCTGGGGGATCCATCTGTCTCCACCTCCTCAGTACCAGGGATTTGCCTGTCCCTGCCTCCTCTGCCCGTGTCATCTGTCACCATTGCTGGCTTTTCCACAGGAGTCCTGGGGATCAAACGCAGGTCCTCATGCCTGCAAACCGTGCCCTTTATTGACTAAGACGCATCCCCAGGCCTGTATCTTCTGTGCTTACTTGATTAACTCAGCAGTCTGGGGTGTGTGCATGCAGCCCCGTGTCAGCAGCCCCCTCCTCTACCACGAGGCTAGGCTCACTGTTTTCCATGAAGAGGTCTTGGGTGCAGTAGGTATATCCGACGGCCTCAGCTCTCCGGTTCAGTTCCATCATGTTCGCACAGAAGATGTCAATGTAGTGCTGGCTCTGGTGGAACAGCCCCCCGGTGCACCCTTGCTGGGGGACAGACAGACAGTAGGAGAAGAGGAAGTGGGTATGTGGGAGATACATGCTCAGTCAGGGAAGGCCTGCAGCTCTAAGCTGGTCTTGCAGGGGCTGTGTTTGGAAGAAGGTATCTCCTCCTTCCCCAGCCACACTCCAGTCTTTGCAACAGAGTCAGCTTACGTTCTGGCTTGGTTACTTAAAAACTGAGTGACTGTGGCTCACTCATTAGCCTTTCTGAGCCTCAAAGTCTTTTTCCAGAAAGGGATGGCCATGCAGGTGTGTCCAACCTTTTGACCTTCTGAGCTGATTTGCACAGTAGAGTTGCAAAGGAATCTCAGAAGACTTCGCAGTGTTTGAAGTGGGATTACAGTTTTGTGCTGTCCCACATGTATAGGTTGGACACTACCCATAGAGGGGACTTTGCTTGGGTGGGCACTGTAGGTACGTAGTGGTAGTGCCTGACAAGAGAACAAACACTAGGTGGCGCTCTAAGGCAGTACCAAGTGCTGCTAGATGGCGTGGTCCAGGGAGCCTCTCAGGACTCCGACAGGCTGTGGGAGGGGAAAACGAGTTGAGAACTGGCTTTCTCTGCGTAGCACTTACCATTCTGGCCCAGAGGAAGAAGAGCAGCTGGTGGGACAGGCTGTAGTCTGAGCAGCCGGCCTTAGTCATAAGGGTTCTGCAGAAATTGGAGAGCCTGCAAGGCTGGCTGCTGTCTGTCCTGCAGAAAGACAAGCCAGGCTGATAAGGACAGTGCTCCCTCCCATCCTACCCTGAGTCTGCACACCCCATGTTTCCCTCTTTGATTGTTAGGGTGAAGGTTCTGGGCTGGGCACTGGGTTGCCAATTAAAATACAAGTGTCCCAAGTCTTACTTTGTTTTGAGACAAGGTCTCATTCTGTAGCTCAGTCCTGTCTCAGCCATCTTGCTTGCTGGGACTACAGGTATCTGATACCATGACTGGCTGTGTCTTGGTCTTGGTCTAGCTCAGAAGAGGCATTGCGGAACTGTCCTGGGCTTGGACAGCCACCAGTGTTTGAGACTTCCTATCACTCCGTGGAGTCCCCAAGTATCTTTTCCATCAGTCTCCTAAATAAAGGACCATTCAAACCCTGCAAACTGGGGAGTGTGATCTGGGCTCAGCGTACTTACTCATACCCTAACTGACGATAGAGGTACTACCTAGAGTGCAGCCCCTCTGTGGGTCAGCTGTGGCTTGGCATTTCTCTGAAGGAGGCTAAGAAGACAATGCCCCCTCCATCCTGCTCTGCCCCCTGCACTAAAATGCCCTAGACCTTCCCGCAAGTCTGTCAGCTGCAGACGGAAGTGGGGAGTACGACTGTGCTCAGTACTGCCCCTAGAGGCCGGACGGGAGGTGCTGGGGCCCTGCTGGGCCTGGCGGAGGTCGAAGCTTCTTCCTGTGTGGCGAGCAAGGGGGAGGGCGGGGTGCGGCGGCGACACGGTGAGTGGGAGAGACGACGACACGGGGGCGGGGGCACTTTGGGAAGGAGTTCAAACGCTGTGGTCCAGGGAAAGTGAGGTCTGAATTGCATGGAGCAGGGCGGGAGAGGCCTGCTGATACCTGCGCACAGGCACCTGCGTTTACTCAAAACTCTGGTTGTGGCTTTGAGGACACGATGGGGCTTTTAGGTACTGGGGAGACAGGGGACCCACCCTGTTCCTAGCAGCTGCACCAGACATGCATCGCTGCTTTCCTCTGAGAACGAATCCACAGGCTCCAGCCAGGGGTAGACCAGGGAGGCATTGGTGCGGGTCCAGGCATGGGGCAGCTTCCAAAACCCAGGCTGAAGGCTTGGTTGGAACTCTGCATAGAAGGAGAGGAAGGAAGTGTGCCAAGTGGTCAGGAACCAAGTGCTACAGTGCTGATGACTATTCCAAGCCCAGAAAGAGGATGCCGCTCTGTGGAGCATCCACTGCGGTGATAGAACACTGTGACCGAAAGCAACTTGCGGCACTGAAATTTACCAGATGCAGAAAGCCTCTCACTTATCAGGGAATGCATGGTTCCCTTAATCAATAGCAAGGATTTATGGACGGGCTTTGCCTAAATCCACCGCATCCTGTGGAAATGTGAAGTGGTGATAGGAAGTCCCGGACCTCTTGGGTGGGATGTCCAGTGGTGTTCTTAGGAAATCATTGCCCAGCCAGGGGTATCCAGCACGGCTGGGTACGGTGTTAAAGGCCTGGTCTCTGTCTCTCTGCTACACAGTTTCGTCTGTGTGGAGGCTAAAACCATCCAAGCTGCCTGCAAGAGGCTGTGGCCTGTCAAGCCGACTACAAGTCATGTGGAGAGCTCATTGGTTCTGAGGAACCAGGAATTAGACAGCTCTGACAGGCACAGGGAAAGGGCCACAGATGGATATTTGAGGTGACAGCTTCTTCCTCATTCCTCTGACCTGAGACAAAGGCTGGGTGTTTTTTCTCCTGCCGGTAGAGCCTCCCTCCTGGTGCCTGGTCCAGTCTGGTCAGATGTGCTCAAGGCTGGACCAGGATGCTTACGTGAAGCTTCCCTTTCTTTATCTAAATTGACCAATCCTAAATTAAGGGAAGGGGACTGATTCCAGGTCACCAAGGACTCTTAAGACCCTCAGTCCTCCGGGAGAGCCCCCCTCTGCCTTGCAAGGGAGCCCCCTGTGTCTTGCTGTGTGCATACCTGTTCACTCTGTAGATTGTGTTGTCCAAGATCTTCCTAGCTGCTACCTGCTGTATTCCAGAGTTTTCCTGCCTTTTAACTCTTTAGCTAGCAGAGAAAATGAACCTGACCTAGGTCTCTAGATGGTAACAGTTCCAGGCTTGTGTAAGTCAGCATCCATGCTGGGATGGGCTTTCAATGATGAAGCTGTCTGTGAGTCCTCTATACTCCTGTGAGTTCCCCCTTGCCCACACTCCTGCTTGTAATCCCAATAAACTCACTGGTTCACTAACACCGTTTTGGTCCATCATCATTTCCTATCTTGGGTGAGCAGACATTCATGTCTTCTCAGGAAAAGTGCCACACAGCAAGCACTGGTGTCCCCATCCCCACCAGGAACTGCTGTGGAACAGTAATTGTGCACTGGAAATATGTATTACTCTCATTAGTTAATAAAGAGCTGACTGGTCTATAGCTGAGCAGGAGAGTTTGGGCAGGAGAGCCAGACTAGGAGAATTCTGGGAAGAAGAAGGGAGGAGTCAGAGGAGTTGCCAGAAGATGCGGAGGGAGCAAGACATACTGGAGGACAGGTAAAGCCATGAGCCACATGGCCATACATAGATTAATAGAAATGGGTTAATTTAAGTTGTAAGAGCAAGTTAGTAATAAGCCTGTGCTATTGGTTGAACATTTATAATTACTATTGAGTCTCCATGACAGTTATTTGAGAACTGGCAGGCGGAAAAGAAAAGTCTGTCTACAAGAAACAGATAAATGAGGCTTATAGGATAGGAACTTCTGTGGCAGCGGTTCTCAACCTGTGGATCTCATTCCCCTTTTATAGAGGTCACTAAGACCATTGGAAAACACAGACATTTGCATTGTGATTCATAACAGTAGCAGATTACAGTTATGAAGTAACAATGAACATAGTTTTATGGTTGGGGGTCACCACGACATGGGGAACTGTATTAAAGGGCCTCAGCATTAGGAAGGTTGAGAACCCCTGCTCTGTGGGATCCTTAAAGGGGGCAAGGTGATGAACTTTTTTTTTTTTTGGTTTTTCGAGACAGGGTTTCTCTGTGGTTTTGGAGCCTGTCCTGGAACTAGCTCTTGTAGACCAGGCTGGTCTCGAACTCACAGAGATCCGCCTGCCTCTGCCTCCCAAGTGCTGGGATTAAAGGCGTGCGCCACCAGCGCCTGGCACTTTTTTTTTTTGATACAAAATACAGAACGGTAGGCGCTAAGGTTCTCTGTGCAAAGAGACGGGCCACTTTAGATCTGCCTCTCTGGAAATCAGGATTAAAGTCAGGAAGTGGCTGGGTCACCTGTGGCTTCCTGATGACTGGTGTGGACTGTCCCGACCTGGCCTCGCTTCAGGAGATGCCCATACCTAGGTATTTCAAAGGATGCTACCTCTGACGCAATAGGCCCACCCTGCTCTTACCTCTTAGGTATGTGGGGTCACTCTTCTTGAGGTAGAAGATGGATTTTTGGAGCAGAACAGACAGCGTGTTGGCCAACTGTCCAGCACGCAGGCTGAGAGGCCGCAGCAGGGGGTTGGAAGCCCATTTTTTCTGGACTCCTTGGAGTTGCACTAGAAAGGGAGATGAGAAGTCATCCATCTTAACATCTGGCCACACGTGTGCAGGGAAACACCCAAGGCTATAGTCATGGACCTGAGCGGAAACAAGGCTCCTATAAAGTGGATCTGGCCTGTGGGTACAGCTCAACTTGAATTCTAGAATTGGGCTTGGGTTCAAATCTTGATTCTCTATGCTTTTTCATCAACTGGCCAGAAAAAGTTACTTAATCTCTCTTCATTCATCATCACAAATTGTTACTTCTGCCGGGCGGTGGTGGCGCACGCCTTTAATCCCAGCACTCGGGAGGCAGAGGCAGGCGGATCTCTGTGAGTTCAAGACCAGCCTGGTCTACAAGAGCTAGTTCCAGGACAGGCTCCAAAACCACAGAGAAACCCTGTCTTGAAAAACCAAAAAAAAAAAAGAAAGAAAAAAAAAGAAAAAAAGAAAGAAATTGTTACTTCTTGGAGGATGTTTTAGGGATTAAGTGAGCTAATGCCTGGAGACAGCATTTTCTGTTGTACGAAGAAAGTATGTAATGAAGTTTATTTTCTGTATTGACTCAGCAAACGCAGCCTGTGAGGGATAAGCAAGGAGGAGTCTAGACTGGCGGGGGCATCTGGAGACATGGATTTGTTCTTATGGCCAATGTCTGCTCATCCACCATTTAAGATATCTTCACAGGTACCTAAATATACGGGTGGAGGGGGAGCTTGGCACTGTGCCTGCTATGCCTAACAGGAAAGACAGCCAGCCAGAGAAAAATTGCTCTCTCTCTCTCCTCCTCCTCTTCCTCCTCCTCTTTCCTCTTCTTTTCTCTCCCTTGTTTCTTTAATGGATTTTGTTTTGAGACAGGCTCTCTCTATGTAGCCCTGGCTGTCCTAGAACTCACGAAGATCCACCTGACTCTGCCTCCTGAGCGCTAGGATTGCAAGCACAGATCACCACATCTACCTCACGCTTCTTTTCTAGAGGAATTTGGCGCTGCTGCGTATGTCTCTGTCTCACTTAATCTCAGCCTGGAGGGAATGGGAATCTCCGGAGATGTCCACTGCCCAAGCCTAGGCAGACACCAGGCATGGAATCTTTGTCACTTTGGGCAGGACCTCACTGCAACCCACATGTGTACTTGTGTGCATGCACACCATTGTGTCTTGGCCAGATTCCAGCCCACTCCTTCCAGATTGTATGCCTCCCAAAGCTAACAAACACTTGACTGTTTTCTCAGGACCTTTAGCTGCCTTTGGCAGAAGGGGAGGAAACCAGGTAGGGGCAAGATCTGGGGGAGAGTTCCTGTTTTGTCTCCAGCCACCCTTAGGCAAGGGGAGTGACATTTCCTTACTGTTCCCAGCCTGTCAGGAAGGGCTGCCAAAGGAATCTTTTCCTTTTAAGCCTATAATTGCCAAATATTTACTCATACTGCCTTTAAGTCCTTATTCTACAAAGTTTGGTAAGAGCTGGCTGAGAACTATACTCTCAGGAAGAGCCCCAGGTCTTCACCTTATCCAGGTGGAGGCCCTGGGGTCTCAGGTCCTGGGGGAACGGGCTTTCCTAGCGTCCATCTGGGAGCAAGGCTCACATACCTTCCAACACTTGGAATCCCACAGCACCGTCCAGGTTGATATTAGGCAGCCTGTCCTCCAGGAACAAGGTGGCTTTCTCTAGCGCAGTCAGGATCAGGCCTGCCATGGTGCCCTGTGCAGTGTCTGGCCATGGCAGTGAGGAGGAGGGCTGTGGTGGCAGGGCCAGCAGCAGAAGTAGAAACAGCCTCAATCTGGCCATGAATGGCTTCTGTTGGTGGATAGTCACACACTGAAATGCCAGGAACCCTCCCAGATCCTTTAAAGACCGTGTTCCCGCCTCTTCCTCCACCTCTCTTCTCCAGGAAGACTTGGAGACAAGAGCCAGGGCAGGGTTGCAGCCAGCTACAGGGCCATGGGCATGGTCAGGCCAGTTTGGCGTATGGGGTTTGCTGGTTGTCTTTGTGTATAGGCGTATGTAGGTATGAGTTTGTGTGAGTACATGTACTTGTAGGGATATGTGTGCGTGTATGTGCATATGTGTGTATGTGTGCTGTGTGTATGTGTGTGTGTGTGGCATGCACACACATGTGGAGGCCAACCTCTGGTATCATTGCTTAGAAAAAAAACCATCCAGCCGGGCGGTGGTGGCGCACGCCTTTAATCCCAGCACTCGGAAGGCAGAGGCAGGTGGATCTCTGTGAGTTCGAGGCCAGCCTGGTCTACAAGAGCTAGTTCCAGGACAGGAACCAAAAGCTACGGAGAAACCCTGTCTCGAAAAATCAAAAAAAAAAAAAAAAAAACCATCCACCTTGATTGAGAAAGAGCTTCTCATCGACCTGGAACTTGCCAAGTTGTCTAGGCTGGTTGGCCAGCGAGCCCCAGGGATCCTACGGTCTCCCCCATCCTGGTGCTGGGATTGCATGTGTCATCATGCCTGATTTTTTATGCAGATTTCAAGGATTGAACTCAGGTGCTTGTGTTTGTTCAGCAAGCACGTCATTGCCTGACAGCTGTCTCTCCAGCTCCTGTATCTTTCCCACTGCTGATCTAGCCATGGTGTAAGTGAAGCCGAAAAATTCAGGTTTCTTCCTTCCACCAGGAACTCACCATGCAGTCCTGGCTGTTCTGGAACTCACTTTGTAGACCAGGCTGGCCTCGAACTCAGAGATCCACCTGCTACTGCCTCACAAGTGCTAGGATTAAGGGCATGTGCCACAGGCTAGATAACAAGGAGGGTTCAAAGAGGGATATATGGATTTCCTTGGGAAGGGGTGTTGTAGCTGGAGCGGCAGGGCTGCTTCCCGCCACCCGACTAGCTTTACCCAAAATAATTACACGGAAATTGTATTCTTTTAAACATTGCTTGGCCCATTAGTTTTAACCTCTTATTGGCTAGCTCTTACATATTGATCTAACCCATTTCTAATATTCTATATAGCACCATGAGCTGGCTTACCAGGAAAAATCTTAACCTGCGTCTGTCTGGAATGGGAGAATGATGGCGACTGCCTGACTCGGCTTCTTTCTCCCAGCATTCTGTTTGGTCTACTCCACCTACCTAATTTTCTGTCCTATTAAAGGCCAAGCAATTTCTTTATTAATTAACCAATAAAAACAACAGATAGACAAATGACCTTAACCAATAGACAGATGACCCTTCTCCATCAAAGGGGAAATAGAAGATATCTCCTGGATAAACTGGGGTGAGGGTTGGGGATGTGGGGGGATGGGAGCTTGAGGGAGCAGGCTGGGCAGACTGGGTGCAGGAGAAAGGTTGGGGGCCAGACAGAGTGGAAAAGTAAAGAAAAAGACGTCTTAATAGGAGAGCCCATTTCGGGATTATAGAGAAACCTGGTACCAGGGAAATCCCTAGGAACTCACAAGGATGACCCAGCTAAGACTCCTAGCAATGGTGGAGAGGGTGTCTGAACTGACCATCTATTGTAATCAGATTGGTGACTACGCTAATTGTCATCAGAGAGCCTTTATCCAGTAACTGATGGAAGCAGATGCAGAGATCTACAACCAAACCCTGGACTGAGTTCCAGGAATCCTGCTGAAGAAGGGAGGAGGGATTGTGCGAGCTGGTAGGGGGGTGGGGGGAGGGTCAAGGTCACACATGATGGGGGAACCCACAGAGACAGCAACCTAAGCTCATGGGAGCTCATGGACTCTGGACCAACAGTTAGGAAGATTGCATAGGACTGACCTAGGCCCTCTGCATGTGTGTGACAACTGTGTAGCTTGGTCTCTTTGTAAGGCTCCTAGCAGTGAGATCAGGACCTGTCTCTGTTCCCAATGCTTGGTTACCTTGTCCAGCCTTGATGCAGGGGGAAGAACTTGGTCCTGCCTCAAGTTGATGTGCCAGGCTTTGTTCAAGCCCATGAGAGGCCTGCCCCTTTCTGAATGAAGACAGAGGAAGAGTGCAGGGGGAGGGGGTAGGTGGGAGGTGGGGGAGGGGATAGGAAGAGAGGAGGGAGTGGAAACTGTGGTTGGTATGTAAAATAAATGAGAAAAATGTTAATGAAATAAAATTTAAAAATATAAATAAAGGTGTGTGCCGCTGCGCCCAGAGGTTTGCTTGTGGAACCAACTCATTGGCAGGTACATTGTCTTCCCAAGCTTTCTCAGAGTGGCACTTGACCAGTGGGAACTGATTTCAAGTTAGGGAGGTCACCCACAAAGCTGGGCGCGGTGGAGCGTGCTTGTAATCACAGGACTTGGGAGTGTAAGGAAGAAGGAGCCACTGCAAATTTGAGGACAGCTTGGAATTTACAGTGAGCTCAAAGCTAGCCAGAGCAACCTAATGATTCTGATTCAAAATTTAAATTCATAAAAGGAGTGCTAAGATGTAGATCAGTGGTACAGAGTGTAAGGAGTAAAATCTAATGGTTCATTTTCAACAGAAAAGTAGCATGGGTCAGTTTAGGTCCAATTATTGATAAACAGAAAATCCTGGACTCCTAGAGGCAGTCTACTAACTATTAATAATGTTTTCTGCCCACCAACCACCACCCCATAATAAGTCTCTTCACAGACTCAGTAAGCCAGATCAAGCTGAACTAAAAAAGTAGAATAGATTTATTTGAGCAAAGCAACTCCTGGGCAGTTTCTCCAATCCCAGAGATTGAGGTCCGAAAGTCCCCCCCCCCAACAACTAATGCAGGAAGACTTCATAGATTGTAGATAAGGGGTGATGCTGTGTCTCCCACAAACTGGGGTTGTGTACAAGTATGGTCAGAGGAGGAAGCTGCAGTAGCTGCCAAGAAAGTGGAACTGGGCTTTTAGCATTCAGAGATTCTCTGAGTGGGCAGGGTTTGGAGACAGAAAACAGGAATGGGTATTGCAGCCTGGTGAGACCAGCTCCCAGGTCTGCACCAGGGTTGCAGAAAGAATGCCTTCAGAGTAGCGGTACTTAGAAAAATTTCCTTTCTATCTGAGGGAAAGACTCCCAGTCATGGTCTGAGGTCATGCGCTTTATATCGCCAGCTCTCATTCTCCTTGGCTTCTTTGTTCACACAGCTTATATAGACATTCAACAACAAACTTTAGGCAATAAAAAAGGTCACAAAAATTATTTCTCAAGGTCATAATGCATTCCTTGTGTAAACGATAAGGGACACACGAGAAATAAACCTGTCAGCTTTCTGATTAGTGGGCAGCTGTAAAAGGGAATTCAGCTGTAATGTTATCTTTAAGAAGATAACCTACAAGGGGTTGTGAAGGAGAAAGGCTAAACTATTGAGAGGTCTAAGGAAGAAATATAGAAGTCGTGTACAGCTGGTACGTGCTGGCACAGCCCAAACAGTACCTGAGCAGGGAGTGCGGATTGAGAAAAGACAGAGACAGAAGATAGATTTGGAAGGACTGTCAGTGAATACTGCAGCCCGGAGTTTATTTCTCAGCATGCTTATATACAACTCTGAGGCAGAGAAAGTGATACAAAAGTTGTATCCCAGACAATGCTGACACTACGCAGCATAGGCAGATGGTATTTTAAGAAGACTACATCTCAGCTGGGCGATGGTGATCCCAGCACTCAGGAGACAGGCAGGTGGATCTCTGTGAGTTGGAGGCCAGCCTGGTATACAGAGTGAGTTCCAGGACAGGTTCCAAAGCTATAGTGAGAAACCTCTCGAAAGCCCCCCCCCCAAAGCGTCACAAGTCTAATAATGCATTTTCTTATCTTGTGCGCCACCCCACAGAACACAAGGAGGGAAACTTGTAACTTTTCATTCAAGGTTGTGAGGCCAGACCATCCTCTGTAGTCCTGGCCATTTGTGAAGCCTTTCCCATGGTTATCTGGGCATAAGGCTGTTTCTCTCCGGACTTGGTTAACAAAACAGACACCTGCAATTCTGTCCTTGTGTATTATCTGTGAAAAAATAACTTATGATCTATTCACAGAGACATTAAGTCTAGTTAATTATACTTAATTGTCTTGTCAACAAGTTATTGATGGAAAACAGGCATCTAAGTTTCTCACCATTTTGTGGAACAAAGGTTTAACTATAAAGGCATATTTTATTCACCAAAATCACACAGTACAGGAAGAAGTCTTCCTCCAGTCAATTCACAGAAACAGCAGTGCCAGCAAAGGAGGAACACGCTGCCAGCCAGCAGTTATGGGAAGAATCCTATGGCCGTTTTAGAGGAGGGGGTTTGTAGCACACAAGAGAATTACAGACAGAAGTAGCCTGTTATTCACAGGCAGTGATCACATAAACCTTGCTCGGGAGGCTACTCCATCAGAGAGTTTGGTCATCTGTGGGTCGACCTTATATCAGCTGTCTTCTACTGCATATTCTTATGGAGACTGACAAATGGGGTTTTCCAGACCATGCAGGGCAAGCTGGAGGTTCCGGATGAAGAGTTACTACCATCTGAGCAGTTAGTCTGTCACCCCCAAAACCAGATGTTTAGAATGAAAAATTACTAATAGCCAAGGTGCCTAATGATCTGCAGACAGGATAAGATCATCATGTACTTGGTAAGCTTTAATATAAACAGGATGAGCCGGGCCGTGGTGGCACACGCCTTTAATCCCAGCACTCGGGAGGCAGAGGCAGGCGGATCTCTGTGAGTTCGAGACCAGCCTGGTCTACAAGAGCTAGTTCCAGGACAGGCTTCAAAACCACAGAGAAACCATGTCTCGAAAAACCAAATATATATATATATATATATATATATATATATATATATATATTAAAATAAAATAAATAAACAGGATGCAGATCATACATGGTTTTTGCTGAATAAAACTTAAGA